GATGGTGCGGGTGTAGGAGCACTCCAACAGCCCCAGGGCCGTCAGGATCTCATTCACCTGTGAAACAGCCTCAGTCACCACAGGCTCCCAGGGACCCTCACCCCATCCCTGCCACCTCCCTTCAACCCTCCATCACTGGAAGCCCCTCAGCATCCCTGGTCCCCTCAGGGCTCTCCCTTCACTACTGTCCCTGTCTCGGGAGAAGATCAGGGGCCTGGGCCCACCTCCCCCTGAGCTTACCAGCTCCTTCTTCACCTCCTGCTTCTCACTCAGCTTCAGGTTAGCAGAGACCTGCAGGGAGAGGATGGGCAGGGAGACACGACTGTTAGATGCAGGGAACAGAATCGGCTGCACCATCGCCCCATCCCTGCCCCGCCGAGGACTGAGAGCAGGGGCTCGGGATGAAGAGAGCAAGAACAGCAGGATTTTGTTCCTGTGTCCCAGAGCCCTTGGAAATGACTGATGTCAGTGTGGGCTCGGTGCCCAAGGACACAGTCCACATGATACCCCACAGAGCTCAGCAGGCTGCCTGGCTCCCACGTCGCTCACCATCATAGCCTCCAGCACAGTGAGGTGTGGCAGGAGCATGTCGTCCTGCATGATGTAGCAGGACATCTTGCGGAAGGTGCGCAGGTCCCGTGGGCGGCCATTCACCAGGATCTGTCCCTTCATGCCAGTCTCCCTGCAGGAAAGAGGTGTGGGGGAAAAGTAGCACAGGGCTATCGACCCCAGGCCCGTGGCTTCCCCGCAGCCTCACCTGTAGCCAGCCAGGATGTTCATGAGTGTGGACTTCCCAGCACCTGAGGGTCCCATGATCCCAATGAGCTCCCGCTGGCAGAACTTCCCCGACAGGCATTTGAGGAGAGTCTTGTACCCTGGAGGGGGAGAGCAGAAGGAGTTCAGCTTTCCGAAGCTGCAGTGCTACAGGCACTGCGATGCCACCCCAGCACCCCAGGAACCTCAGGACCTTCGCGCCTTGTGCCAGGGGCTGCATGAGCCTGGAGACTGTCTCCACCAGCATCCCCAGGGCTACAGGCACAGCAGATGTCATTTCCAGAGTGATCTCTGACCCTGGTCCTTGGCTGGCCCCATTGATTTCCAGCACCAGAGAGGCACACGCCCTGGATGATGGCAAAGACCAGGGAAATCCCTGGGTCAGAGCACGTAAGCTGCTGAGGAAGACTCCCAGCCTGGTTCTGGGCATGTCGTCAGATCCCAGTCCCTAGGGACGGTGGTGAGGGGCAGCAAGAAGCAGGCAGGGTCCCCAAGCTCACTGGATGCCTGGCTGTTGCCTTCATTGGCATTCACGCTGTGACACCCGGCAGCAGATAGTGCTAATCAGACCTGGAATTATCTCTGCTTTAAACGCAGCTGATTAGCATTTTCTGGCAGAAGGAACACGATGTGTCGGGAGTAGGGAACAGGCACAGCCTCAGGCTCTCAGGAGCTGCCCCCAAAATGCAGTCCTGGCAGGAAAAAAATGGTATACAGGGTGCTAGGACCATGCTAAACCCCGGACTAAGTCTAAGCATCTGCTGGAAATATGCCCCCCCCTGCACCCCGGGGTGGCAGCTGGTGTTGGGCAAGGGCACCACATCCATCCCCTGCCCACAGGCTGGGGCAAGGCTCAGTGCCAGACCCACTCGTGGTCCCTGCACCACACGGAGGCGGGGTGGGGACACACCAGCCCCTCTGGCTTCTCCATCACCACAAGCTCCGGGTTCCTCCTCTGCACCCCTCAGGGTCAGGTGCCCTGCACCCAGGAGCGGGCCCCGCGGGCAGTGAGGGCCGGGAGGGGAGGGCAGGGGGATGTGCATGATGGCAGCAGAGCGAGCATGCCCAGCAGCCCCCCCCCCGGTGCATCCCAGCGCCACGCACGCAGCTCCGGCACCGCGCATGCTGCTCACGTCGGCGCCACTGCAGCTTGCGCAGCGGTTACTCGCGTTCATTGACTGCCAGTAACCTCCTGCTTCAGCAGAGTGAGGCAGCCTGGCCCGATCCTGGGGGCTGCAGCCAAAGGCACCGGGAGCTGCCCCCCTGCCCCCCAGCTCCCTCACCTGTGCCCAGTCCGGGAGAGAGGAGAGTCCCTCCCACTGCCGCCCCAGCATCCCAGCACCTCTCGGGTCCAGCTGTCCGAGCCTTTCCCACTCCCGCCCCGCAGGGCACTGGCCCACTGGCAAGCAGCTGCTCCCCAGGGCGCTGCTACACACTCTGCCCTGGGAAACCCATGCTTGTGCCATGGCTCCTCCTGGGGCGCTTCCTCAGCATCCCCAACAAACAGGCAGACCTCATCCTGGAAGATGTCAGGATGTCTGGACGTCCTGTCTTTCAGTGCCTCAGTTTCCCCAGCTCAGAGCCCTAGGACAGGGTCAGAGGCCTCACTTTTCCCTCCTGGCTGGCAGGACACCCTGCTGAGCAGCCCTGTGCCCTGGTCCGCTCACCCCAGGCCCCTGCACACCCCTGCCTGCCTTCAGCTTCTGCAGATCAGCTCCCCCTCCATCTCATGGGGCTGCCTGATTGGCATCCCATTAACTGAGAGAGCTAATTAAAGCAGACTACCACCCACCAGTCGCCATCTGCCTCCCCTCTCCCCTCCCTGAGCTCTCGGCCAGAGTCACGCAGAGGGAAGGGGCCCATGGCCTCAGCTGCGCGGGGAGCTGCTGGGGAGGAAATCCCCTGCAAACCACACGCGCTCCCCTTGCCAGGCTCTGAGCTGGGGCACCCCTCGGGGTCTCCTGCTGTCAGCATGTCACACGCAGCCATCACACCCCGAACAACCGTGCTGGGGAACCTCGTCCACTCTGGCTCCCCCCAACCAGGAAACCCACCCCATCTCCCGCACGCCAGCGGCAGGCCTGGGCCGCGAGCTGCTTTCCTCCGGCATTGCCCAGCAGAGAGACGCAGCGATTGCTGCGGGACACCAGCCCGTCCGCCACCCAGGGGCACCCGGCACGGACAGTGGCAACCAGCGCCGGCACCCAGCCAGCCCCCGCTGCCGGAGGGGACAGCAGGGCGAGTGGCTCCAGCATCTCCCCGGGCGCAGCCCCGCCGTCACACGCCGAGGGAAGCCCCCGCCGGCGGGCAGAGGGACTCTGGGCGTGCAGAGCCTGGGGCTGCCTGGAGCAGGGACTGGCAGAGAAGCCATAAATCCAGCAGAGGCAGATGCTGGGGACACGGGTGAGATCAAGGCATCCAGAGCAGGAGAGGGATGCGGAAGCCCTGCGGGCCCCCTCCCCAGGCAGCAGCTCCTACCTCTCTTCCTCCACCAGGAGCCTTCCCGCACAGAGTAGGACAGGTCGATGAACTCGATGTTGACGGCCGAACGCTTCGGGAGGTGGGAAAACCTCTGGGCCTCGGTGATGTGGTTCTCCACCTTCTTCAAGTGGGTGGTGAGGAGTGGGGCATCGGGGGGGCTGGCGTGGCACACCGTGTCCTCCAGGGCAATGGAGACACACGCGGGATCGATACCTTTCTCCGCCATCCTGCTGCTCTGTGGGAAACACACAGGGATCAACTCACCGTGGGCCCCCCTCTCAGGGCCGGACTCCGTAGGGGCCTGTGACCAGCCCGCAGCAAGTCCCCTCACATCCTTTCCTGCTGGCTCCAGACCTCGCTGCCCCCTGTGCTACACTGCCCAGCTGTGGTCTGGCACCCACAGCTGGATGGGAAGATGGACCAGGCCCGGGCAGCCGAGCCTGCTCCGGGGGGCTCACGGCGAGGAGCAGCCGATCGGCTCCACAGTCAGGAATTCACGCACCTCCCGCAGCTGGGTCCAGCTCCCACAGCGGAGCTGACAGGTTGTTCACCACCCCTGGCCCCACTGCTGCTGGGCTCCCTGCCCTGTTCCTTTTGGCCACAGTGGGCACAGGGTGGGATGCTGGAGATCAGATGTTCTGTCCTGGATGGAGAACACCCAGCTGGGTCTGGGTGTCCCCAAGGGCTTACCAGGAACCACCTCTGCAGCCTGGCCAGGGCTTGCGGGGTACAGACACGGGCTCCCAAGCAACAGCTTCTTGGACAAAGCACGTCTCACCCAGGCTCCTGGGGCAGAGCTGGTGCCAGTGGTCCCCCCAGGCTCGCTGAGACAGACTTAACAGAACAGGGAGGGGAACCCTGCTAGCGGCAATCCTTCTCTGCCTCCCTTGGCTCATTCACCTTCCCAGCTCTTACCAGCACAGCCTCAGAGACCAGCCCAGTACTTAACTGGGGCCACGACACGATGCTAACACACACCCCTGCCCCACGCTTTCCTGCCGGGCAGTGTCCCCTGCCTGCAGTCCTCCCCACAGCTGGCGCACCTCCGCCAAGCTCCTCAGGTCTCTGCTGGCGTAAGGACTCTGCGGAGCCGGCGGGGGGTGAAGCCAAGCAGGGTGGGGAGCAGGCTCACCCCGGGTCCCACTGCGGCACCAAAGGCTGGGAGCGGGGGGAGCGGGGATCCCCACAGCACTGCCAAAAGGAGCCTGAGCCGTGCCTGAGCAGGCCGGGCCCAGCACCCATCTTGCCTCCGAGGCTGGGGTCCCAAGGCTTCGCTAACCTACATTTTGCTGCGGTGCAGGCTGCGGGAGCTCCCCGCTCCAGCTGCGGCGCGCACGCCGTCCCCGCAAGGACCCGCGCCGGCATCTCCCCAGCCCCCTGCCCGCTGCGGCCGGATCCTCCCGGGGCTGGAGCAAAGCCAGCCCCAGCCCTGGGGACGGAGGCGGCTGCGGGATCGCCGCACTCGGATCCCGCTCTCGGCAGCTCTGGGACACGCTTGGCACAAGGAACCCCCCGTGGCAAGCAGCCCCAGGGTGCGGGCTAGCGGGAACGGGGGGCTCGGGGC